ATTTAAAAATTAATCTTCTTACCTTGGGATTTTAATGACGTAATGTGATCAACTCATTTCAAATTTTGATCAATTATGATACCGAGGTATTTTGTTGTGTTTTTCATTTTAATTATAAAGTTGTCATTTATTTGTATGTTGAAAGAAGGCCTTTATAAATTACATTGCAAAACTATTAATAATAATTTAAACATAGTTAAGTAGTAAAATAACAATAAATTAAGGGAAATTCTTAAAAAGGACAGGTTTAAAGAGTATTATCACAAGAAAGTATATTCGTTCTGTTTATTTATCAAGTATTGTTTGAGGTTACTTTTGAATACATTTATTGTTGTTTTTTTTTTTAATTTCTGTAGGCAGTCTATTACATTTTTTAAACCTTTAATAAAAATTGATTTTTTTCAACTTTTAGTGATCGCTTGCCATACATGAAAGTCAGATTGGCTTCTTGTATTATAGTTGTGATATTGTGAATTATATTGAATTTTTTCTAATAGATTTGATGCGATGGATTTATGCCATTTTTATTTTATAAATAAATATCAGTCATGTACTAAACATAAATCTGAACAGAAAGCCAATTTATTTATTTTAACATAGTTGCAATACTTATCCTTCTCTTCTTTATTATTAGAATATAAATAGGCGAAGTAAGGAGCCCCATGAGCAGGCCTAAGACGTAAAGGGGCCAATTATTATTGGATAAATTGCTCGAACAAGTTTTTAAACCCTTATCAAAAGGCGATATAGATTGGTTTTAAAAATCACGGCTTGTGAAAATCATCCCATGGTTTAACCACCATTTTAGCGTCTCTCGAATTTGGATGTGAGTAACTAATTTTTACCATCGATAAACATTGGCAAAAAATGGCACACTTTTAATGCCTGACAGTTTAATGTGGAAAAATATATTGTTTCGGCACAGTTCAATAGAACTTGTAGCTAGGTCCCCTGATTTAAAGCCAATCGACTATTTTTAACGTTTCAACGTGAATTGTGCACGAAAAAAATTGCAAAAAAATTCATCGTTTCAAGCCCAAAATTCACAAAAACTGTAGAGCTAAACATAAATATTGGAATTTAAATAAATTAAGTAGTAATATAGCAATCTTAGCAAGGTTTAAATCATTAATAATTTTATATTAGCTGAAGAAGATGCAATTCATCAGTACATCTTTATTAGCAAAGCCTATATTGCATAGTTTCATGAATCCATAACTGCACAAAATGTTTCTAAAGTAGGCACTGGAAAAATTCAAGAATGTCAGCATACAATTCTTTTTTTTTAAAGTGTCAGTTTGAATTTAATTCAGAGACGTGCATATCTGTCTATGTCGGTCATAGCCTACTTCAGGAATATTTTTTATATACCACTTATATAAGAAACTTTTTATTAATGGAACATTGTAATAGCACACTTCACATCTATTTTGTCAAGCAAATTCAAAACAATAATTTCGAAAGGACGGGTTCTAACAACGCAGCCTAGGTAAGAATCAAGGTTAAACCGAACAACTAATATTATGAATGTCGCTATAATATTGCTATACAGATTTTCAATTAGTTCAATTAGAAACCAGTTTTCAAAAATAATGGTTTAGGAATCTTGACGTTTTGCTGAACTAAAGTAAAAGGTGTATGTATATCAATTACCAATAGACTATATTCAAAAATTTGAAGCATAAAATAATCCTGAAACGTATTTTTATTTTAAGAAGATAGGTGTGGACTACGAAACGTCAATTATCCCAACAATCGAGGGCAGTGGTACCGATAAGTATTATCAGTTTTGATAAGAGAACGAATACAATAATTTAATGATTACAGGATAGTTTATCATGGCAAACATTTATACCAAAAAATCCGCTGAAAATAACATGGTGGTATCTAAAGATGCAGTCAGATCTAAATTAGAACTAGAGGGAAGGTAACAGAACAAGTGAAGTTTAACTAACTAAACTCAAAAATAACTATGAACAGTGTTGTTCCTGGTTGTACAAAAAGTTGTACAATCACTTATGCGGTTGTACTTTTGAAAAAAAGAGAAATGTTGTACAATTTGAAGTTGCTAAATAATTATGTAAAATCAGGTATATTAAAGGTTTTCTTCGCTCAAAAAGTCTACGATTCGTTAAATAGTATGCATTTAAATTAATAATAAAAATAAAAGTTTAAATTTGACGCCATTCGCGACTAATAAGTACACCGTTTCACATCGAAAATATATTTTAAATTGAAAAAAAAATAATTTTAAGCATCGGAAAGTAGTAGGCCATAGTCTGTAAATAAAAAAGAAGAAGATTAATTAGTGGTTGTACAATCGAACGTAAAAGTGTACAATTGTGACACTGAAAGTTGTACAATTCAAAAATCCCTAGGAACAACACTGACTATAAATAGAAAGACAAGACATGTTGATATCTTAATCTGATAGCAGACTGCTGGACAGGTGCATATTTTTTTAAGGTGTCATCGGCATCGACTGCTAAGGTCATTAGCCTCGTGTTCTGTGTAGGCTTTGTTACTGTTTCCCAGCGCCACTTTGGGAACAGCACTGTTAATTAGAACCCAACAGTGAATGGTCGAGTGGGGAATCCTCCAAGATTGTGGTGTGATGTTTCAATGTTGGAGTGATCACTATTGTATACAGCATAAGTTAATCATTATTAAACTGGGATACATCTTTTACAAATATGTTGAATGAAAAGTGAAAATAAACACTACGGCGATTCAATTTTTTACTTATCTGATATTAGATGACATGAAGTACAAAGACCGTCAATTAAAATAGATGAGGCTCTAAAAGTTTGCCTAATGACAGAAGAGTAAAGCAGGCGTAAGAAGCAAGATGCAGGAAAAATCAGAAGAAAGTTATGAAAGATATGAAACAAGAGTACTGATTGTACTGACTCTAAAAGATAAAAACTAAGGGAAGAAATAAAACTACATGAGACAATTTATTAATGGAAACGGTAATACACAGAGTTCAACATTTCGAAGCCTCTAAATCAATGGAAGAAGTTCAATACCTACAATTAGAAAATCAAACATGCATTATTATACACTAAAACTTTGTAGGTACAAGGTTATATTATTGTACACATACCTATACATAAATTTAGTATAGTGATATTAATGGTTTTTGTAACATTTTATATTATCTGTATTTTTATTATATCTATATTTGCTATTTGTATCTAAAATAAATATCTACATTTTCCATTATTTACAATTTATTTATTTATTAAGCATCTTCTAATTAAATATAGATTTTATTATTCCTAGCAAATAATATAGGTTCCCAGATTGGAACCTTGAGATCATCCGCATGCAGCTTGATGAAAGAATTTAAGGAGATACTTAAATAAAATAAGCAACATATTCTATGTAGTTTGTAGGAGGGTTTGGAGACATCTGTACAGATGACGTTACTCTGAAACCGTACTTGAAGTATTTGGAAGTCAGTACTAGAAGAGGCCTAAGTAAAAAAATATAAATGTAATACGCTATCAAAGGTTTTAAAATTAGTCTGGATTAAACATAATATATGTTATTAAAGAGAAGGAAATATCAGGAACAAAAAGAAAAAGGTAAACATATCATAATCCATAAACCTAACAATGGAGTGTTGTGGCTTTAAATTTTGCAGGATTATAGCTTGATGCTTGACTCAAAAAAATAGCATTGAACCCAAGAAGCCGAATTAAATGAAATTCTACTGAAATATTATCTCGACACAAACAAGATATTACCACCACCAAAAATGGGTAAGGTGGAGATGAAGCAACAGATTACGTATGTACCTAGGTACTGTACCTATTTATCCTTGGTACAATGCAGCAAGCGATCATATCTATACACACTAATCTACAGTTAGTAGATACCCTACAGTAGCCTACGATCTTCACAAGGTAAAGAAATAAAAAAAAATACTAATAACCTACAAAACAAGCTAAAATTACATATGTAAACATTTTACTTATGCCTCATAATTCTACAATAAAACCTAAAACTGAAAACTACAATAATACCTATCTAGGCATGGCCTTTGTTTTCTTTAAATGCATTAAATCCTTCGCATGTGCAACAATAATTATTTTAAAATCCGTTTCAGTAGGTAACAGAGGCAAGATTATGGACTAAAAAGTAGCAACAACCGAATAAAAGTCCAGTGTACAGTACATACTTTCACTGCCTCGATTATCTTTTACGATAAATACCAGTTGAAAGTAAAGAAATATGTTGAAAAAATCCTAAAAAGTGAGAGAGAGAATAAATATTATAAATAAAACGATGCATATTAGTTATCGCACGCCCCCTGTAAGTTTTAAATGACAGGTTAAAGTGCAGCGTTGAAGTATAAAGAAAAATAGAAAGAGAGAGAAAAGAGAAATTGAATATTGAAACGATTTATCACATCAATCATTGTAGCTCGTAGGTATTTAAATTTAGTAAACTTTACCGAAAGAATCACAGATTGGAGACAAACATGCGCTACAGAAAAAAATGTTTAGAACCTCTCTCTCTTACTCCTATTATCGTATTTATTTTGACAAGTCCTTTCTCCACACTGTCGAATATGATAAAAAGAAAACGTGTCGTTGGATTTATCCAGGCGATTCCGGAAAACTAATGGGAAGTAGGCATTAAACAGGAGTCTTACCTGTTTAGCCGTGATTAGTAGTCACAAGTGAACATGCAAAACAAACACGATTAAAATCGCGGATGAAAGAATAAAATCAGACCACAGTGGAAAACGGACTGTACGATTAGAAGAGACAGGCTCACTATTTTGTTGTGGATCAAATTCGTTTCTCTCCTCTCATCTCTACGCTCTCTCTTTCAAGTTTTCACCATCCTCTCTCTCTTCCATCCACTTCTACGTCCCCGGCATGAGTGTCCGGGGCATAGTTGACGCAACGGATCTCTGAAGCTTGTCCGGTATGCCACATAGCCGCGAAAGCTTCTCGTCTGATTGGTCCGGATGCCGGCAACGCTGCGCAAAACACCACTGAGTTCGCAGACGACGTCACTCGAGGTTCGTTCACTATGCCCCGGACACTCATTTTGTTCCAAAATCGCTTCCATCAAAGCGATCGCTTTTAGTTCAAACCCGCCCTATGAAGACTTAACACTGTTTTTCGTCGTCTCCTCATAACTTTAAATACAAGTGAAAATATTTGTGATATTTAGTTTTAGTGTGCCAAAATAGGTAACTATAATGTTTCTTTGCTTGCCAATAATGGTTTTAACGTGAAATTTTCGGGAAATTTAGATAGATTTCCGTTTTTATGCCGGTAGCTTCCCGTTGGTACCACCCGAGCTTTCTCTTCTGCTTTATTTCTGTTTATTCAAAGCTCCGACATAAACAAAACATTGCCGGTTAAGTAAAACATAGTTTGCGATTAAAATTTTGTAAAAATTTTCGGTTTTAGTATTTAATATTGAATTTCGATTGTCGACAATGAGCAATGCTGACTCGGAAAAGCAGAGCAGCCATTTTTGCCGTGTGAAGCAAACGCTTCGCTTTCCTTTTCCCCCACTTATGCTGACGTGGAAGCTAGAAGCTTAGAACGCTTGCGTGCTTTTGAGGCATCGGCCAATGGAAATTCGTTTTGAGGTGAAAGGCACCAAGCCTGTGAAGCCTCTTCCTCTACGCTCCGACCTTCGACTTCGTTCATTTTGAGTGGTACTCCATTTTGTAACTTCGCGTCGCGAACTTGACTGATTTCAAACTTTAATAAAAGTTTTTTTTATCGATGCGTTGAAAATAATTTTCGGTTTTTGATTTTATAGAAATGGATGACGACCAGCAATTTTGTTTACGGTGGAACAACCATCAATCGACATTGGTAGCCGTTTTTGACACATTATTAGAGAACGGAACATTAGTAGACTGTACTTTGGCAGCAGAAGGGAAATTCCTCAACGCACACAAAGTGGTTTTATCTGCGTGTAGTCCATACTTTGAGGTAAGTTATTTTAATTTTTTTTTCAATGTTTCAATATTTTTTTAACGTGATACTGTTTACGTTAAAACTTGTATATGGTACTGTCCATGTACTTGTCTTGAATAATTTGTAGTCGTAAGTTGAAATTATGTATTGAGGACATTTCCACGGCCGTTTTTATATGGTAATCATGTTAAGTAACGGGATTTTATGCGCTTTTCGATATGATCGGCACCGTTAGCTCCAATTTCTATGGTACTGTCTATAGAAAGTATTTCGGCTTTCTTTTTAATTATGTGGCTTTGTATAAAAGTATGATACTGTCCATAGCTTTTTTGTTTGTTGCTTATAATGGAAACTTTCAAATTTTATCGTATTATAATTAAAGGATATTTTTTCAGTTTGGTTATTATTAAATATACTTTATTACTATGGTACTGTCTATAGTTTTTTTTTTCTGTGGTACTGTTCACGGAAAATATTTAGAAAATACCTACAATAAATGGGAATTATTTGCCATTGAAATATAAAAATAAATTTAACCTAAGTTTCGTTTTATTTTGACAAGTTCACTAAACATTTAAAAAAACCCAATTTTGTACATTTTTAGAATTCTTTCAAATCTTTTGTTTACTGTGGTACTGTCTACGAGATATCGGCATTTTATATTTGTAGCGCTGGAGTTATTTATGTTATGATACTGTTCATAATAGTACATTAGTAGCACTACATTTACCAATTGGTTGTTATTGTAATAATGCTTTGCCTGTTTTAACAATAAAATGAGCCTTGTTAATATGTTTGTCTAGGACAACCGTATTTTGTACATTTTTAATTTTCTGTGGTACTGTCTACGGAAATTCGGCATTACATTTGTACGGCTGTGTTTATGTTATGATACTGTTCATAATTAGTACTTTGGTAGCCCTAAATTTAACAATCTGTTGTTATAAAAATGATTTAACTATTCTAACAATAAAATAAGCCTTGTAATTAGTAAATTGTTTTATACATTGGTTTTCATCCTACTATGAGGTGGTAATTTCGAAGTTTTAGCACTAGTATATTGAAGTAACTTATTTTTTATAATGTTTTAACTGAAATTACATTTGTAAAATTATATTTCACTTGTTATTTTCATTTATATTATAATAAAATGCGATTTTTTGTGTTTTAACCTAACTTTTAGAATCATTTCACTATTTCCATCCACGAAACATAAAACAAAGACGGTCATTGAGTTTGCAACGTTGCCAAACACTTTAATATAAAATCACTATCAATATCTAAGTTGGAGTTCGAAAATTGTTTTGTTCGATAAAGTGTAGCTCGAAAATACATAGGTATTTGGATTTAAATTTTCTCATTTTATGTATAATTTTTTCGCGAAGCAATCTGCGATGTCTCAAGGCCGCACAGGTTCGGTAAATTAGTTAAAATTTGTTTAATTTTTCTTATTTTATGCATATTTTTTGCGAAGCAACCCGTGGTGACACCAGGCTGCACAGGTTAGGTAAATTAGTTAATATTTGTTTAATATTTCTTATTTTATGTAAAACAATTTGGGAGCAACCCCTGGTGATTCCAGGTCGCACAGGTTAGGTAAATTAGTACCCATTTGTTTAATTTTTATTTTGTTTTTTTTTGCGAGGCAACCCGTGGAGGTTCCAGGCCACACGAGAAGTCGTTGCTTCGTCTTCTTGGTTTTTATAATCTCTTACATACATTTTAAATAATCCTGAAAGTGACAATTTGGTTAACAACTTGGCAACATTGTAATTTTCAATACCGAATCTGTCATCTAAAGTAAATGTTTTGTGAATGTAACCTGTAAAATTGAGGTTTTTAATTAGATTTTTCTCGAAAAATACTGGTTTTTACAGGAATTTTTTTACGAAAATTTACTTACTTTTGAGTGTTTAAATTTTTTTTTGTAAAATTCGCACCTCAGGATATCTCGACAGGACAACCGTATTTTGTACATTTTTAAGTCTCACATTTTTAATTTTCTGTGGTACTGTCTACGGAATATGGGCATTTACAATATTTGTACAGCTGTGTTTATGTTATGATACTGTTCATAATTAGTACTTTGGTAGCCCTATATTTAACAATCTGTTATTGTAAAAATGATTTAACTATTTCAACAATAAAATAAGCTTTTGTAATTAGTAAATTGCATTTGTACAGTTTGCAATAATTGATTATTTACTCTAAATGATTTCAATAATAAGATAAATGTTTTATGGTACTGTCTATAAAACGAGTATTAAATTTTAAAATGATTTATTCCAATAAGAAATTGTTTTATAGTAATGTCTATAAAACGAGTATTAAATTTTAAAATGATTTATTTCAATAAGAAATTGTTTTATGGTACTGCCTATAAAGCAAGATTCAATCAAAGTTGAAAAATTCGAATTTATAAATTTGAGCGGAAATCTAACCGAAGCGTCCATTGTTACAGGCGTTGCTGTCAAAGCATTTTGACAAGCACCCAATCCTCATTTTAAAGGATGTGAAATTCCAAGAACTGAAAGCGATGATGGACTACATGTACAGGGGGGAAGTGAACATATCTCAAGATCAATTAGGGGCTCTATTAAAAGCGGCAGAATCTTTACAAATAAAAGGTTTATCAGACAATAGGAAAGGGGAGACAGAAAGAAAACCGGCGCCGGCTCCCCCGCCCCCGAAAAGTCCCCAACCCGCGTCAACCTTACCGAAAGTGCAAGGTTTAACAATAGAGCAAAGAGCTCGGGACGATTCGCGGGAGGGCAGCATTTCGCCGGGTCCTCGTAAAAAGAAAAGGTTGAGGAGGAAAAGCGAGGAATTAGATAACCATGACGCCTCTAATTCTTCCGAATCTCACAGCCTACCCGCCCAAAACATTCCTACGTTACCTGCCGTTACGAAAATGAACGCCGATGTGCCTGAACAAGTAGAAACCAAATCCGAGATACTCACGAGGCATAAACAGACAGACGAAATGCCGCAAGTTCCTATTATTAAAGAAAAGATCGAAACACACACAGAACTGATGTTGGAACCAAAGTCTGAATATGTAGATGAAATGAACGAGGACAGTATCGAGGATTTGACGTTAGACGATGATGATTTAAGTAATATGGAACAAATGGACGATGGGGCAGGACCTAGTCATGGGAATACGGGAGAAGGATCGAGTCAAGGTTTGTAATATCCACCAGAATCGTCCTCTTTTCCCACCACCAACCTTTTAATAATAAACGAGAAATTTAGTTATAAAAAAATGGTATTTAAATTAACGACGTGTTAATTTTGGGTTTATAAAAAAAATAGGTATTTCTACTATGTAACAAAATAATCGTTTAGATTATTTTTAATTAGGTATGTTTTTATATAGCAAAATTGATTAGCTTTTTTTACACTCTGAGCTTTGGTACACATATTTTAATAAACAAATTATTTATAAAACTGGATATGCCAATATTTAAAATTTTGATATCTTTACCGTTAGAGAACATTTATATTTGGTTTTGCAGCATTAATTCTTCAGGGTTTTCGGGTATGATTATATGGTGATAACCCAGTGTTATTGATAATTGATGTTCAATGTATATAATATGTGGGAAATCACAAAAAAGGTAAACATTGTGTACAGAACCAAATTAAAAATTTTACAAACTACCACAATATTAAAAATACTTTTCATGAAGTTATTCGAGATTTGTTAGTAAATGTTTTTTGGTCTTTTTTGAGGTAAAACATTGCTAACGAATCGCAGGTAACCACGTAAAAATGTTTTTAATGTGGTTATTTATAAAATTTTAAATTTGTTTTTGTATGAATATTACCTTTTTATGATGTCCCACATATATAATATTTATTAAACAAAAATAACTATCAAATCTCACTGAGTTCTGCCTGATGATGGGTATAAACATACTCGAAAGCGTGTAATAAAAAATTAAAAAATGCTGCAAAGCCCCAATATAGGTATTCATTCCCTCACTTTATTCCTTTATACCATTTTTAATTGGGACATATTTGTTTAATTAAACCTTAGGGTGGCCCAAAAAAAAAGCGAATATTTTTTTTTATTTAAGTCTTCTATGAAAATATGTTAGTTTATCATGTTTTAAGATCCCCCCTCCAAAGGACAGTCCAAAAAATTTTTTTTAAAGGGTCGCTCCGAATTTTTAAAAAATTCTTAAATCGTCGAATACCGGATTTTTTTTGTTATACATTTTTTTCTAATTTCATTTCTTTTTTATAAGAAAAATCCTAAAGATCCTGATAGTCGAATTTTTTATTTTGGAAGGTCACTCCGAATTTTTCCAAGGTTCCAAGTCGAGTACTTTATATCTCTTTGAGCTACTTTTGAACATGAATATTAACGAACTTTATATTGTTTTTTTCTTTAATTTTACATACTAAATTGAAGCATGAGAAACGAAAACAAAGTTTAATGAAAACAAAAAAATATAAAAGTTCGTTATTATTCATGTTCAAAAGTAGCTCGAAAAGATTTGATTTGAAACTTTAGAAAAATTCGGAGAGCGAGCGACCTTTCAATATTAAAATTTCGACTTGACATTTTCAGGACCTTTGATTTTTCTTATAGAAAAATTAAAATAAAAAAAATTAAAAACAAAAAAAAATCCGGTTTTCGACGATTTTGGAATTTTTTAAAAAATCGGAGCGACCCTTTAAAAATTTTTTTTTGAACTGTCCTTTGGAGGGGGCTCTTAAAACATGATAAATAAGATATTTTCATAGGAGACTAAAAAAAAAGTTCGCTTTTTTTTGGGCCACCTTATTAAACCTACTTTTTTTCATCTACATTTTTATGCTTTATCAATATTTGTCAAATTTTTTTTTGCACTTTTTTACAGATAATCAGTTTACGTAATATGTCACAGTAATTAACGATTTGATAATACTGATAAATTTGTTTCATCATTATTTTTAATTAGAGAATGTTTATGCATAATTTTAAACTTCCAAAATTTTACGTAAATTTCTACATTTGGATTTACTTTCGATTTTTCACGAAATGTATGTGTTAATTGAACAGATAATTAACTACTTCATTAATTTTCTATTTGTTAACTGACATTTCTTGAAGCCTCATGAGTAAATCGATTCATTTAATAAACTATTGTGTAGCTCAAAAAATACACAGGTCAAGAATTTTACTAAATTTTCGTATTTGTATCATACTAGTTAAGAGTAAAATTGTTTTTATTATTTTATTTAATAAATTCAGTTTCCAAACATTTCGAAAAATTATTTTGGTACGGCCGCTACTAGTGAAATGCAATATTTTTGTATTTTACATTTTGGTTTGTACTAAGCTTTTATTTTTTCGTAACTTGTAAGTCGTTTTTATTTCGTAACATAATGAAAACATTTTACTCTTCAATGATCAATACGGCATAATTTGCTAAAATTTTTGACCTAAACTAGAATTGAAAATGATTGCATTTTTTTTACTATTGTGAATTGCTTTTAATTGAAACTACTTATTTCAGTTAACAGGAATTCATTTACTTTAGAAAATTGTAAACATTTCCGTTTTGGAGTATTTTGGGAGCTTCTCAATAGGATCACTTTTTTTAATAATGTTTGTACGTGGTTTAGTAAATTTCAGTGTGATTCATAAATATTTCTCTATTTAATTAGTTCTGAAAATTTGAGTAAAATAATTTTTGGCTTAATAAATTTATGTAAAATGATTTCAGAAGTATTGAGATATAATTTGACCTTTCTTACTTTGAAATGTCATTATATTTTTGAATGCACTGAAAATATTTTGCAGAAATTTTTATTAAACAATCTTTTGACAAATATCTATTTTAATTTTATTTAATTTGATGACATTTTGAACAAAAACTAGCAAAGCATAAAATAATTATCTTGAAAACTTGATTAAATTTCTTTTTTGAGCCCTATTTGTCCCAATAAAAAATGGTTTATTTTAGCATAAAAATATCGAATGTATAAATTCTCATTTGCGAATTTTTAAATAAATTATGTGTACCGAGTGAACGAGGATTTTCGTAAATTTTAAAAGTCTAACAGACTTGATCTTTTAGCTGCTACACCAAAAATAAATTTTAATCCAACATCGAGGTCGCAATCTAAAGTTTTTAAACCAAAGTTTAGGGAGTAATTTTTTTATGAAAGTTAGTTAAAAATAATTTGTAGAAATTTACTAAAATTTCTAAAACCCAAAATTGCACAGATCGTTATTTTTTCAATTAATATATAAAAAAAAATTTAATTTGGCTTCTACGTCTACAATCTTTTCCTAAATTTTCAATTATTTTAGGGTCTATTTTTCAAATACATTTTTTTGTTATTCATAAACTGGAAAAGCTTCAATTGTCTTTAAAATATTTTCGAAAGTCGATTTCGTTATTTTCGTGTAATTTTAATTTTTTTTTTATTTCTCAAAATATTTTATATTTTCTAGCTTTTAAGATACGACCCGTTATTCATTTATATTTAAAATGCCAAGTTTCAGTATACTGGTTATAAAGGAAACTAATAATTCAAGTTTTCATTACAAAATAAATGATAAATATTATTTCCTTTATCAGTATACTGTAATGTTAGTATAATGTAACTTAGCGTTGCGTATTGACGTATGAGGTATGGTTGAACTATGAAAAAAAATTCAGTTTTAAAAATTACGATGACTTCATATCGTGTAAGGTAGTTAGGAGGGGGGGGGGGTAATTTTTTTCCGGTAAAATGGAAAACAAAAAATTACGCGTTCAATTTCAATAATTAACTTTTATTTTATGATAATTGAGCGTTTCCACAATTTATGAACTGACAGTATATATAAACAAGTCCAGGTTCTACAGAATTCACATTTACACATAATTTTAGAGCATATGGAAAACTTTTTTTTGTAAAAAGTTTGCATGATCCGAAACCTAAAATGCAACAATCAGATATCAAATTTTTACAGTAGTATACGATGTATGTCATAATATGAATTTTACTGAAGAAAAGTATCTTTATTTTTGACAAACCTCGTATACTACTGATGAAATTTGATATACATTGTGTCTACTTAAGTTAAAACCATATGGAAAACTTTATTATTGTTCTGTGGTAAAAAGTTCTGCTTGGTCCAAAACTTAAAATGCAACCATCAGATATCAATTTATTTAGGCTGTATACGAGGTTTGACTAAAAATATGAATTTTACTCAAGAGTAAAGTACCTTTATTTTTTACAATACAGAAGAACATTATAAAGTTATTTTGAATTAAAAGTTATATTCAAAGCTGCAATTACAGTCATTTAGCATGAAAATTCAGGTTAGGTGATTATTTACGTTTTACATTACAAATTATTTGTAGTTATGAATTAATTAGTCACCAAACCTGAATTTTAGTGCTAAATGGCCGTAATTACGTATTTGAATATAACTTTTAATTCAAAATAACTTTACTTCATAACATTCTTCTCTATTGTAAAACATAAAAGTACTTTGTTCTTAAGTAAAATTCATATTTTTTGACAAACACCGTAAAAACAGCTTAAAAAAATTGATATGATGGTGTTTCATTTTAAGTTTTGGACCATGCAGAACTTTTTATCACAAATACATTTTTTCACAAAACCAGTAATAAAAGTTTTCCATATGGTTCCAACTTAAATAGTATAAATGGTTGTATTTTAAGGTTTCAGACCATGCAAAACTTTTTATGAATAACTTTTTCGTAAAGATAATAATAAAAAAGTTTCCATATGCTGTGAACTTCACGAGATATTTGACCTGAGAGTTGATTATCTAAATTTTAATTGTAACTTCTTACAATTATTTATTATTTACTTCAAATTCTTTTTAGTGATTTCTTGATGAAAGTTTTAAAATTAACTTAAAATAATCTCTTTTAATTTCTCAGTTTTCGGCTCCTTATTTACTGGACGGGTTTTGATTTAGTTTTTTTTTGTATAACTGCCATAAAGTTTTTTTTTTTTCATATGGGATTTCAATACAATTCGAAAAAACGTAAGGCAAATGCACCTCTGCTTATTAAAAAAAATATATAAAACCACACGGGAGTGCATAAGTCCTGTAGAGCTGAAGCAGTTCCAAAAAAATATGCTAATACAGTGTGTCTACTTAAGTTGGAACCATATAGAAAAATTTTATTGTTGGTTTTGTGAAAAAATGTATTGATAAAAAGTTCTGCATGGTCCAAATCTTAAAATGCAACCGTCAGATATCAATTTTTTAAGCTGTATACGAGGTTTGCCAAAAAATATGAATTTTACTAAAGAGTTAAGTACCTTAATGTTTTAAAATACAGAAGAATATTATGAAGTAAAATTATTTTAAATTAAAAGTTATATTCAAATATGCAATTAAAGCCATTTAGCATTAAAATTCAGGTTTGGTGATTAATAATTAATTTATAACTACAAATAATTTATAATGTAAAACGTAAATAATCACCTAACCTGAATTTTCATGCTAAGTGACTTTAATTGCATATTTGAATATAAATTTTAATTCAAAATAACTTTAATTGCATATTTGAATATAACTTTTAATTCAAAATAACTTTATTCTTCTTCTGTATTGTAAAGAAAAGGTACTTTACTCTTGAGTAAAATTCATATTTTTAGACAAACCTCGTATACAGCCTAAATAAATTGATAAATGATTGTTGCATTTTAAGTTTTGGACCATGCAGAACTTTTTACCAAGAATACATTTTTTCACATCAATAATAAACAAGTTTTCCATATGGTTCCAAAACCTAAGTAGACACTTTATTATCATCTACCACAGAAATTATTTGAAACATTAATTTAAATTATTAAATAGTAAATAGTATGTGCACTGCACCGCTTGGGTCGACGCCCCCCCCCCGCTCATCGTCTTTAGTTATTCTAGTAGTCTTGATAGACATGCCTGTCAAAAGTATTAATTAACAAGTTTTCGAACAGTGAAACTTTTTTGTAACCGTATCTTAATCAAGAATAAAAGGTGTATTGTACAATTCTACTTTAAATTTTTCAATACATCTTATATTGTTTTTAATCAAAATACTGTTGACGAGAAAGTTTTGCTGTTCCCAAACTTGTTAATCTTTTTGACAGGCATATGTAGATGAGATATTTGCATTTTTTTTTTGAAGTTCTGTAGCTCTACATCATTTATGCACCCTAATTTTATTTTTTGATTTAAATTTATTTTTTGGCTGTGTATAAATTCTGTGGAGCTGCAGAACTGCCAAAAAATTCATGTATCTAATCTACCACATACATTATTAAAGACATTCTAAAATATACGTTAAATAGATAGATATTGATAATCTCGTTAATTTTAATTAAATAGTAATTAGTGCGCGCTCTTCACTGCTTAGACCGCTACCCGCTAGTCTCTTGATAGGCATATTCCTATCAAAAATATTAATTACAAAGTTTTCGAAACGCGAAACTTTATTGCAACAGTATTTTAATAGAAAAAGATGTATTGAATAATTCTACTTCAAAAATTTTTCAATACACCTTTTATTATTTTTTAGTTTCGCAGTTCGTAAACTTATTAATTAATCTTTTTGACAGGCATATGCCTCTCAAGACTACTAGAACAATTAAGAGACGATAAGCGCGGGCGGCTGTGTTTTTAGTAATTAAATTAGGGAGATTATCCGGTAAATCTATTTTACGTATATCGTGGGCTTACTGCAAAAAATGATCAAGTCAGATTTTACGTGTTTTATTTAATATGACCAAATCACTACTTGTTAAAGTTGGCCCTACCAAAAAAATGATCCAAGTCATATTGATTCAGTTTATTACTTTCAAGCAGTATAAATATGACTTGTGATTTTAACAAGTGACTTATTATATTAACTCAAATCACATACAATTTGAACTGGTCATTTTTCGCAGTAAGCTCACATTATGATATGTCTAAAACAATGTGAATTTTAGATAAAAGATTAAATAGGTATAATTTTTTTTTGGCAATTGTGTAGCTGTACAGCATTTCTGCAACAGCTGACATCTTTAAAATATGAAAAAGCTTTAGAGAAACTTGTTCTGACATTTTACGCCAACATACCTATTTTGAATGAAATTTTTTTGATAAACCTCTCGACTATTTTGCATTCATTGAAAATGCTTGGAAGGGACGAATATTAAAATTATGCAAAAGCTAATGCACAAGTGTTCTGGGGATGATTTTATAGATGCAAAAATGACTTAAATAATTTTAATATTCGTGAGAAATAACCATGCCAACAAAAATTGATCTGAATTTGTTGACCTCTCGTCTCTTTTAAACCTTTTCAGTGAATACAAAATGGTCAAATAAAAAATAGTTAATAAAATTGTCTTTGTCGAAATATTTTGTTCAAAATCGGTATGTTGACGTAAAATGGTATTAGAATAAAAATAATTTTTCTAATTTTTTCATACAAAAATTGCGAATTTGATAGCTTTTAATTCGCAAAACTTTGTTACGAGATATTTACAAAGTTTTTAAATAAGCGAGGTGATTAAGCTACGTCATTTTTTTTGTTTAATCATTAACAAAATTCCATACTTTATTTAGACTAAAAATTTAAATTTAATAATTTTTTTGCACATTTTAAAATTTAAATCTAATTTAAAAAAGCATTAATAGTTCACATATTGATTTTAAGAAACCCGTCTGATGCCAATCGGATTCATTTAACTGTAAATAAATTTTGTAAATTAAATTACATATAAAAATAATTCTTTGGGTATACAGGGTGGGTAACTCAACCGGTAACACCTCGGTCTGTGGAACCTAAATTATTTGGTTTTTTTTTTTCAGTTTCCTCTCACATCCAAGATTTAAATCAAAAAAGTTAATTTAAATAATATAATTCTACAGGGTTTTCCAAGAAAGTTAATACATATCATAGTTAGGTTTTTTTTAATGGAACCCGCTTTTAATTTATAGTTGAATTCTCCTTTGCTTTTCACATTATAACAATACCTAATGGTATAAAATTAAACAGGGCATTTTACACGCTACAGCCAACCAGTTTTATATGAAAATCCTATTGAATTCAATGAGACATGTATATTGCAAAATAAATAATTGAAAATGAAATTTTTTTGCTGTCGAAGTTTTCGATATTAGTCAAAATGGTGATACACTACTTTTTTCAATTAGAAATATCTGTACCGGATAAAATCATTTTTAATTTTTTTAAATTGACTACCCCGTATTTTATCACTATTTAAAAATATCTTAATTAAAGTTACGTCATTTAAATTAAACATTCTCTATACGTAAAGTTGATAATTTTGGGAGTTTTTTAAGTAAAAATAATTCGCAGAATAGTTAAATTTTAACTAAAAAAGTTTTTGACAATTTCTAATAGGACTGACATTCAGTTAAATTTTTAAACCTTATAGATAGTCTGTTAATACAAACTTCATTAGTGTTGCAATATTTATTTTTTAAAAATGTAGTTTGTTTTTTAATATGACCTTTAGTCGTGAATAAGTAGTATTTCGAGTGTTAAAAAAATGCATAGAAAATGAGTTGGACCTTTGAAAGCCACCTTAAGACATCCACAAATATTATATTGAAGGCTACTTAGTTAGATATTAGATAGAAATTAATCAGTCGCCAGTTAAAACTAGATTATTTTGTGAATTATCTTTTTTCGCGTTTACATTTAAAAATCTCAAAAAATTATTAACTTTCGGTATAGGAAATGCTTAATTAAGGTACTTTTAAATATATAAATTACCAGGTTGATTTAAAAAAACTAAGAAATTGATGTTCGAGTTTTGATTCAGATTTTTCAAACTTAAAAAAGTAGTGCATCGGCAATGTCGACATAGAAAACTTACTGTAAAAAATCGTTTTCAATTGATTCTTTTGCACTTTCAAGTCATTAAAATCGATACGATTTTCATATAAAACCGGTTATAGCGTATGAAGTACTTTCTATAATCTCATACTATTTAGTATTGTCATAATGCTGGAAAAAGCGAGAGAAGTTCTAATATAAAATAAAATGCAGTGTTTCATTTAAAAATTCTTAATTTAATATGTATCACTATCATAGGAAACCCTGTAAAATTTTAAATTACGTTTTCTGATCTACATTTTGCTCTGAGAACATATTTAAAAAAAAAATCAAGTTTTTGGCCAAAGAATTGGTGACGCGGCTACTTTGTGTAAAAAATTACTCAAAAGTTAGTTTGAAACAAAACCGACCAACATTAAAAAAATTACCAAGTTCAATTTAAAAAACCGTGTTCCCAAGAAATCGCTCAAAGAATCTAGAAAGAAAAATAATTGAAAATTTACAAAATCAATTTAAAAATATCTGTCAATGATTTGCTTTTAATTTCTCATTTCCTTTTAATCCAACCATCCCTTCCCCCCGCTTTTAAAAATCGTCGAAAACATTTTTTTATGGGACCTTACAGGATTTGGAGGATGGCATATGGGTAACCAAAGTCAAGATGAAGTGTTTCTGGCCGCACAAGAGGCCGTAGGTGCACATCGAGACTCACAAGGTAAGATTTTTGTTTCAATTGTAAAGATTTGTCTACTGTTTTGAATCAATACAAGATTTCTTTTTTTTTGTCAACCAGATTTTGGTAAAAGTTAACAATCAAATTGTTAATTTTAAAAGTTAGTTTAAGGTTTAAAGGTTTAAATTAAAATAATAAAAACATAATTCAAGCAAATGATTATACTTTATTAATCATTTTCAATTTAGGTAAAAATTAATCATCTATTTGTTCATTCCAGTAGACAAATTTAAAATTCGCTCGCACATGGTATGGCAAAATTTAACACCACACCTTCGACTTCCAGTCTCTGGTTATTTTTTTAACATTTTAATTTATTATATTTTTATTTATCTTATCCTAACAGGTAGTCCTTGGTTTATCCTCTTTGCTTAACACTTAGCTTTATTTAGAAAACAGTAGTTGTAGTTTATTTTTGGTTTTCCTTCATTTTTTTACCTTCTCCCCTCCATCAGGATCAAGATTCCTTCACCAAATCACCAGTTTTTTATTTTGGAGGTCTTCAAGAAAATTTCGAGATTACTAGGTCCTGCTTAAAATTTTAAAACCTTTAATTAGATTAATTTAAATACGCCGAGGAAAATAATAATTATATTAGGAACAATGAATTTTTTCACTGCTGAACCTGTCCATTCGCCAAAAAATATTTGAAAAATAATACAATTTATAAGTTATACAAAAAAAAAATTAATTAAATGTAGGGTATTTTTAAGATTCGTAAAGTTAAAATTTATTTCCAAATAAATTATCTTAACAATTAGTATTCTTTGCATTATACTGTTTAATGCACGAGCGGTTAGGTTAGGAGATATGCAATTATACTGTTAATTGCATTTTTTTTATGAATAATATAAATAAAAAATTAATTTCGGATTTTCAGGACCTAGTGAGATTTATCTGCAAAGGTAAGAAGGGGGAGAATGGCATAAAATGAAACCAAACTGTTTCCAGTTACATTCAATTCAAATTTTTTATTGTTATTCTTTTGGTGCATACATACATAAGACCTAATCAAAAACTTTTAACTGCAATTGGTGCATCTTTTCTATTACCTTATATAGATAAAAATGTATCTTTTGTCGTTAAAGTTACACCTGGGTTAAAATGTTCAGTAGAAATTATTTATTAAATTAGTTTTTTTTTGAGGCTTGGAAGACATTTTGGTTTCTTAGCGGAGACTGTTAGTCTCGGTGTTGTATTCTCCCACTTGTTCCTTTTAAAAATTCAATTAAAGATTCAATATTTTTTATTTTATATTTATTTTGTCCTCCAAAAGTCAATTGTACATTATTTTTGCCATACAATCTGTGAGTGCTTGTTTTGTTGGGTATTGTAATTTTGTGGGCCTGGACAAATGATATTCTATAAAATTGCCATATTTTTATATTTGTAATTCAATTATTTGTGGAGTATCATTTGGACTAGTCTTTAATAAAATGTTGGCCTTCTATCTCATGTATTTCTTTACTTTTTGGTCTAACATTGTATTTTTTGCATGCTTTTTATATATTGTATATTTTTTGTATATTTGTATTTCTCTTGTGGTAAGTCTAATTTTAGACCTAACACACATTTTTTAACGAATCTGTTTATTTTAGTAGATTCGACATTTCACTGCAAGTGGAAACATTTGTGATTATTTTCGCAAATGTTTACACTTGCGCCATTTATTTTTAACTTTATATTGATTTCATATAAAGTTAACCTTTTTAAATTGCATACATTTGTATGTAATTGCGTTCAAAACATTTAATTAGAAGAAAGAAGATTCAGAAGATCCATCAAAATTTACATTTTAAATTTCTATTTTGAAATTTATTAAATTTACAAATTACATTTTAAATTTCAATTTTGAAATTTATTAAATTTACAAATCACATTTTAAATTTCTATTTTGAAATTTATTAAATTAACAAATCACATTTTAAATTTCTATTTTGAAATTTATTAAATTTACAAATTACATTTTAAATTTCTATTTTGAAATTTATTAAATTTAATATTCTTATTGGCCAATTTTTGGTCAATAAGTTGTGTGAACGCCATTACAGAAAAGTGGAGTGTATTTTAACTAAAAATTAATCAGTTTTTAAAAGCTTATTTTTTAATGATTTTTGTTAATTGCGGAGTTACTTTTATCCGTAATTAACTGAGTGATTAAAAGATTTGTGTACAAAAACGTCAAGATGACAGGAGCCAAGGAAGACATTTTTTAATTATGAAACATCAAAATACTTGTACATTTTAGTTTTTCTAAAATGTGCGTTTTTAGTTGTCAATTTGTAGCTGGGTACATTTAAAAAAATGTACACAGTGAGGTAAAAAAATAAAAGAATGTTTTATTTTGTTCGTTACGAATTAAAATAAAAGGCAGACATTTTTATATCTTCATGACTACAGTTTTACTTTAAAATTGGAGTCATGATATATTGTAAGATTCTGTACGTATTCTATATCAATTTTTGAATAAAAAGTGGATTGCAATTTCAAATTGAAATTGCAATCATGTGAAGTAAGTTAATATGGAAAACCATGGAAGAGAAGAAAGAATATATTTATAATTAGTACTTTAATAATTTTAGTTACAGTTTGTCATTATTTGTTATCTTAATGATTACAATTTTTGAAATCATTTGTACAAATTTTGATGAAGAAAAACAAGGGTATTATTTGATATCCTTGATGATTACAGTTTTATTTTAAAATTGGAATCATTGGGAATATGTGAAATAATGTCTTCAAGATTTATTATAAATAACTAAAGCAATGCTGGTTTCTATTTTGTATCTCGAATTATTACAATTTTACTTTAAAATTGGAATCATTTGGGATATGTAAAATAGTTTTGCCACTTGAATGCATTGTTAGAAATATTTCTAAATTATTTGTTATCCTGATTGATCACAGTTTTACTTAAAAGTTGGAAGTCCTTTGGGATATTCAACATAATTGTCTAAAATATAGTTTTATAGAAGCGCAGTTATTTGGGTTCATGAATGGTTGCAATTTTATTACAAAATTGAAGTCATTTGGGAGGTTCCAAATAATTTCGCAAGCAAAATTAGACGTCGTGCTACTATCTATCTCTTCAGGATATTAAATTTTAATATCGTTTTTGATCAGAATAGATTTGCAGCTAATTACAACAACTTGAAAACTTTGAATATAAAGGATGCTATTTTTAGTATTTCAAATAATTACATTTTTACTTTAAAACTTGTATTTATTTGGAATATACAAAATAGTTTCTAAAAATTTAATGCAACATTTTGTAGCTGTGCCAATGTTTGGCGCAGTGAGGTATTGGGCAAATATATTTTTAACTTCTACCGATTTATTCATTTTATTTTCAAAACTGTTTCATTTAGAATTAAAATCGTTCAAAATAAAATGAATATGTCTGTTACGCATACAACTTAAAACAAATCTAATCCATATTTTTAAAGTGTTTAAAATTAAGTGAAATCTTCAACGGATCTGTTTTGCATTTGTAGCTGTGGAATTTTATTTCACAGTGAGGTAATAATTATACAGCATTTTTTTAATGCTTAAACTTTTGGAAAACTACAACAAAGTGTTAGCTAATATATTTTTATTTCAGGTACCTACTAATTTATTTATATTTCAAATATTTAAAAAAAATTATATTTGAAATATAAATTTATATTTCAAATATAAATTTATATTTGAAATATAAATTTATATTTCAAATATAAATTTATATTTCAAATATAAATTTATATTTCAAATATTATTTAAATATAAATAAATAGCAACGACTACAAATGTATTTTTTGCAATTAAGATTTTTGAGTTGCTTTTAATTTTATGTTATTAGCAATTACAAATATTTTAATTGCCTGATATTTAATTGTAAACGCGAAAATACTGAATAATTTCACTACAATATAACGCTTGTAAAGATACTGGGTCTATGGGTGCAAGTGTGCTTTTGTGAATAGAGGGCCAACAGTAGAGGTCAATTTTAGCCATATTGATTTTTGTACCGCGTAGCTATCTTCCATCTTTCCGTATTATACTTAATTAATACCCGAAGATGCAGATATCTACCTCAAAACAAAATCGGGATGGAAAAAATAACTTACCAGAGAATTGGTCCTGAATGAATGTTTTATTATTTACAGACCCCTTACCTTTCAAGTGCTTACGTTGTGGCAGAGCTTACTCAGTACCTTATTCTTTAGACAGACATCTAAAATATGAATGCGGTGTCGAAAAAAAATTTTCATGTTCAGTTTGCTCGCGAAGATTTTCTCGTAGAGACATTTTAAGAGTTCACGAAAAGAAATTAAATCACGAAAGTCCGGTACAGGGATCATAATTTTTTTATGGTACTTGTATTAGATTATAGTAAGAAGGCCAGGCGTTTCTCTTCAAGAAACGCCAGGACTGGGTGGAGGTGGGACAATTTTCTTTTCACTTTTTCAATCAAAAAAAAATATGAAGATCGAGGGAAGAAGTCCATCCGACTGGTTGACTGCTACTGGAAAGAAGACTTCAATCATTATTTTCCTTTCATTTTCCTATAGTTTTCCTTCCTTCCATTTCATCAGTATTCATCATTACTTTTCTTCCGTTCAACTCCTTCATCATTCTCATTCATGTTTGGATCCTGGGTGGGGAGCTGCCAGCCACTTCATCCATTTCATGTGAGTATATTTTTTATGTAACAATATAATATGCCTTGTGCATTTTTTCTTCAGATTGCTTTTATTAAATACACTTTTACAATGCAATACTTGTTTCTTCGGTACTGTTTATGAATTTTTATTTTTAAATTAAAATATATTAGGGAGGGCTTTTTATTGTCCTCCCGAGTATTTATTTTAAATTACACATAAAAATTCATAGCGAAAGGATCAGTTTTGTAAAAGTAATTTTTTAAGAGGTATTGTTTTTTTTAATAATTTAAAATTAAGTAACTTGTTTTCGTTCAGTATATTTTCTGTTATGGAATTTTT